TCCTTCAGAAATCATTCTAATATGCTGATTTGCTGCACAATAAACTTTTTTTTCTTTTCATTTTTTTATTATTATCAATGTTGAAAACAGTGTTGCTTAATAGTTTTTGTGGAAATTGTGATATCTTTTTCCCCAGGATACTTTACAAATATATTTTTTTGTAAAATTACAAAAAATTGTATATACTTTTCTTATATACTGTTTTTATTCCAAATCTAAAGATCTGTAGTTTTAAATTAAAAAAGTTTTAAATATCAGGTTTTTTAATGTGACTAATGAAGTCATTAGTTTACAACATTATGAGCTAATCAATGTTAATTTTGTACTTATGTCAACAATAGATTTATTTTGTAGAATTAAGAGGAAAACTTAAAAAAAAACATATTTATAGCTCAGTAAGAAGAACAATTAACTGATATTTACATTTGAAGAAAATGTGAGTGATGGCTTAAATTTTTTGAAGCACAATTTAAAAGTACACATTTTGAAGTTGTATTCATGTTCGTTGAAAAAAAATAACAGTTTATAATGATTTTAATATTTTTTAAATATTTTAATAGGGTTTTGAAAAAATAATGATGATATGTATAATGAATGCAACTTTAATTTGACAGAATTGAATGTACCTCATAGCCGAGAACACGTTTCTTGCTTGTGCTCCAGGGAAGGGCTTTCCAGTATACCTCAACATCAAACGCTGAAAGACTCTTGGCTCGGAGTCGACTGGGTGCCCTTCCAGGCTCTGAATTCGAAGGAGAAATTCTTCGATTAGACCGTTTCATTCAACAAATGTCTTCAAAGTCCAACTCTTTTTGAAAAACAAGACAGACCATGATTAATGGGTTCTGGCGCAACACACTTCAGTTAACTTGGCTCCTATTAACTGCCTGCTAAGCGTTCCACAGCGAAATGTCAAAAGGTACATTCGACTTTAATTTCTCTGTTGTGCACAACCAAATGCTACGGTTAATGTGACTGACCCTCCTCAGCAGAGTAGATGGTGACCACAGGTCCAAAAGGTCCTTCCCCCTTGTTATTGTACACCCCCACTTTGACTTGGAATGGAGTAAAGGGTAAAATGGTCTCGTTTTTGAAGACGTATTTGGAGGCTTCAGGAGAGGGAACTGCCGCCTGCATCCACCCGGTGGCGCCGAAGGGACGGAAAGCAACGACGTAGCCAAACCCTGCTCCGTTCTGCAGCTCTTCAGGAACCGGCTGCAACACACATTCACACCCACAAATAAAAC